AAACAAGTAAATAAATCCTTCTGCTTAAACCTTCTCTCTTGCTCTTCTTAAACACCTTCTTTAAAAATACCACTGTAACAATATAGAGAATTAGCAGGAAAAGTTATATGATATCTGTATATTTATTTATGGGCTTAATTAAATATCGCACTATGCAATGTACCAATATATCGCACTCTAACAATTTACCAATTAAATTATGTATCTGCAGTGTAATGTGAAAATCAAGTGTAATATTAAATTTTGTTTTTTTTAAAAAAACTATCAATATCTCAAAATTTTGCATATGAAACAGCTTTTAACATCTTAATAAAAAAAATTCCTTGCAAAATTTTACTATATATTATACTCTATTCTAACCTTTAACTATCAGCCTTAAACTAATGTTAAACCTGATTAATTGATATATAAAAATGGATTTTGATTTTGCATTACACGGATTGGCAATTATTGTTTATATATAAGCGCGATATACAAGTGTATCGCATAGTGCAATGTATATATTTATCCTTTATTTATTTATTTTATTAATTTTAAATTATATATATCAATAAAGTTATTTTAGATTTTAGGATATGAAATTAAAATTTAAAGACAAAATTGTTTTTGATTTATTTTATACTTTTTTTTTTAATTAGCATCTTTGAGGCTATGGTTTTTATTTAAGTATTTGAATAAAGAGGTTCACAATGGAACCTTCTATTATATTAAAGAGTATATCTAGCTATATATACACTTTTGGTATCTAATTTAAATAGTTCACCTATTATTATAGGTTTTATATTATGTGCTATATCTGTAATTTAACTACAGATATTATCTATTTAAATTTTCTATAATACAAACCACTTTGTATATTTTATTATATTTGTCAATCAAGAAGTCTTAGATGCTTTCTTTATTCTCTTAAAACTAATTTATTATTAAAGTATTGTTGCTAGAGCTTTCTATACCTACAATCTGGCTAACCTAGACTTTAATAACTTATACTAAATCTGAAAACAAGTACTTGTGAATTGAAGCTACTACTGTTACTTACTTCTGCTCTTGTTAAGTTCATTCAAATTATCATCTATAACCTCAACTTTCTAAACTACCAATTTAAATAGCCCAAAAAGGCTCTAATCTGCTTCTGGTTTCCACAGTTAGATTCTTTTTCTCTAGTTTTTATATGACAGCCTGGTTAGTAAAATGCTTTGTCAAACACTTTGGTTCTGTTCAGATTTCACCAGTTTCTTGAGTAATAATCTTTTATGTAGTATTGTCAAAAATCTGTATGATTTCTCTATTCAGATCTTGCCAAGTGAACTTCTGTATCTTTTAATCCATTGGTTTTATACAGCTGCTTTACTTAGATTTCATATAATTTATATATTATACTATAGTTTTACAACATTCTAGTACTAGCTGATATAACTATATTATAAGTGCAGATTCAATGAGATATAGTCTACAGATACATTTTGTAAATTCAAATTTCATTGCTAGTAGAATTTAAACTCTTGACCTGCTATTTGGAAATGCAACAACTTACTAACTACATTAAGTTGTCACATCTTTTTTTGACACTTTTTTTAAAAAGACAAAATTATAAAGAATATAATTATTTAAATTAGATTTGCTTTTGTATATAAAAATTTTAAATTGTTTTAATAGAGATGAAATAGTGTTTTTTTAAAAACATATTTTGATAGTATATATATTTTAAATAAATTTTATTATAAAGCAGTATCTAGGGATATTAATAGCTTGTTTAAAGTTGACTCAGCCATAGTTTTAAAGCCAAGCTATTTAAAACCAGGCTAGCTAGCTTGAAATATTAAAATTATATAATTAAAATATCATAAGGCCATAGCTTTAAACCATGGCTTAAGCTATGGTTGAAACCATGGCTAAAAACCATGGCTTACTATACTTGTACTTATATATAATATAACAATAATTTTGTTTTATACAGCATAGTGGGCTTTATTATGATTGACGATTTTTAGAAATTATCATATCATAATAAAGTCTTTGATTTTCTGGTACAAGATTGAATTCCAAGTCACGAATATGAATTTTGAAAGGGTAAGACAAAAAAAACTAGAAAATTCACATCTTATTTCATAAACTATTAAAGCAATTCGGTAATCCATGAAGTACTTCAGAAGTTAGATGAGAAATATGTTTGAACATTTAAGTTTAATTTACGGGTTCAATAAATCAATTAAACTTGGCAATTTAAGTTGTTTTTTACATATTTTGTGAAACTTATTCTTCATAATCCCAACTAATAAGAATTTTGACTATTATATAAGTTAAAAAATATGAAGTTGAAGGTAATAAGGTTTATAGATTTTGTGAGAAGAGTTAAAGCAAAGTAATGGTATTGTAATTGTTATATCAATTAAAGATCAGTTTGATGTTGAAATGAACAAAAAAGTTATTTTTGTTTATTTTTTATTAGCTATTAGTGCTCTAGAATAGGTTCAACATTTATTTCTTGTATTCTTTGTTAACGAACATTTCTATAATAAACTCTAAACATATAATGTAATAAAATTTTTAAAATTTATATTGTATATAAGAATACAAATAGACGAATAACAACTATTTGGATATGTACTAAATCTACCTTCATGATTGTCTAGTAATCTGCATTACTGAAAGATTGAGACTAGTGCTAGGGTTTGTATAACTGTCGAGTGTCAATTGTTTGATCGTGTTTATGAATTCTAGTTCTTAAGCCTGTAGTAAAAATAAATAAGTTAATTCAATAAATCACCAACAAAATAATATTTATAATATATAATTAATGATATTTTTATATATTTAATATCATACTGTCATTAAATTTAACCCAGCCAGAAACTGTTTTGGTATAAGCATAGCAATGTATACATCATGATGTATTTCCAACATGAAAAATTAATATAAAAGGTCAGTATGGATGTTTACAAACAGATATGTCTAAAATTTTGCTATAATTCATATAAGCGTTAATTTTAACAGAATGTTGTAAGCATCAATTGTATCGAAAACACTTCACCTGTATGATCAAAATTTCAAGCAAGTTAAATTGCATTTTTGTGCGCGAGTATTCTTATTATATCTAAACAAGATCGAATATAATAATTATATTAGACTTATCATATTTTATTCATATAACATGTATAATACTCAGATTCTTTACACTGAAACTACTAACAGCTAAAAAAAAGCAGGACATTATTCTAGAGGTTTTTTTTTTTATCTGACGGTACCTTGTGACCAGTTAAAATTTCTGAATTTACTGTGCAATAATAAATCGATTTTTTTTCGAACTTCATATATGCGCTATATAAGCTTGTAATGTCTACAATGGCAAATCAAGAAAAACTATAAACTTTACAAGTGTGCACAAAAATTTTGTTTGCGCACAGTCCACCAATATCGAAATTTCTATAATCACATGATAATTATCAGTTATGCAATGTCGCAGTGGTACGTACATATGTACGTAATCATTGATTTTAGCCAATCAAAATTCGCCGATTCATACATTATAGTTTTTTGTACCAGTAATAAAATCACTAACACTAAATTCATTTCATTTTCATACGCTAGTTACAAGAACTTTTGTATTTTATTTATTCTAAATAATATTTATTCTTGTAAATATTAATACTTATTATAATAAAAATTTCTTACTAAGTCAACTTATATTTACCATGATTGAACAAAATCTATATAATGTTAGCCTTACGGCTTTTCTTGTTTACAAAAAAAATCTATATAATGCTAAAATTTAAGATACTAATGCTAAGATATAAGATATTAAAAAAAAACTATTCAATAAACTTTTGTCTATTAATTTACTTAATTTTAGTTTAGCATACCAACACCTAGTTCCATCTAACTTTTTAGACAGAGTGACGCATGGGCAGTCTGAGGATCAAGACGGTTATGAATTTTTGTAAGGGTTCCTGCTGCAATAGAAAAGACTTCTTCACAAGGAACACTTGTTCCTTGGATCGAAAGATAGTTCTGTACCATTTTCGCAAGTGTTGGAAACTTGTGTTCATTTTCAGCCCATCATAAAAGAAAGTTATTTTTAATAGTTGTTGGCATAGACACATAGTATTCTAGTTCCTCTATTAAAGGTTGTTTGATTGCTTGTTGCTGTATTAATAATAACTCAAAAAATTTTCGTTTATTTTTAGAAGTCAATTTAGAAGTAGAAGTGGTCATAGTTGTTTGTGAGACTTGTGATTTATAGTGAATCATCATATTTCGTAGACTAGTAAGAGCAGCATCTTTATCACCAAACGGAAAGGTTATAAGCTTGGATGATGGGTCAAGAATTGTAGCAATCGTAGTTGATTCTTCGAGTATGGACCAATATTCATCTAGTTTAGATCGAATAGCATCTGCCATCATATGTTGTTCGGTCGAGCTTGATTCGTCACTGATAAATTTACTAAGATGATGAAGAAGTTCCAAAAAAGTTAAACGAATATCGGAGATGGTTGGATATAAGCTTGATGATAATAATTCTGTTACGATGAGCATAGGTTCTAACAATTCAAACATACAATCTACAACTTCTCATTCCTTATCATTAAGATAGTGATTTTCAAGTTGTTTTTTATATGCAGTTGTAAGTAAACGTAACTCATCACACATTTTTCTGAATCTATGAAGCATATTATAGGTACTGTTCCACCACGTGCTTAATTTAATATAATGAAATTAAGCAAATAGTAAATATTTATGAATCTGAATAGCTTATTTTAAAACACTTTAATATTAAATTATTTTTTATACTCACCTTACATCAAGAATTGGCTTGATATAGTTTTTATGATTCATTTCGCAAAATTGACGAAGTGCATCATATAAGACAGTAGAGTGTTTAATTTTATTTACAAAACTCCTAACTTTTTCAATTACTGATGTTTTAAGTTGCATTCCGTTGTTCACAGCTAGATTAAGAACGTGAGCAGCACGGCAAAAATTTTGTAAATCCTATTCTTGCTCTATTAGATTTCCACATAGTACCATCACAGAGTTATTATCTGTAGTAAGAGCAATTACTTTATCACTAATATTCATAGCATCACAAAGTTCATAGAGCTTTTCTTTTGTAGATATCGCAGTATGATTATGCTCAAAATGAATAAGGTCCAGTAATAGTCGATGCATTTGCCATTTGTTATCAATATAATATACCGTGACCCCAAGAAATGCTTGATTTGAAATTGACATCCAGATATCGACGGTAAGCGAAACTTTGGTAGTAAGGCTTCCGAGTTCTTTTGAAACAAGAGCATGCCGAGTTTTAAATTGATTTATTATCTGCTTCTTTACATACTGACGTAATGGAAGCTTATATCTTGGGTCAAATGTATTCATCATTTTTTGAAACCATGGGTTTTCAACAACTGCAAATGAGAGCTGACAACAAACTATAAGATTTAAAGTACTATCAAAACACTCATTCTTATGTCGAACATCTCCTTTACCATATGGCTTTTGGATCAAATTACTTTTTTTTAGGATAAGTTCTATATTATGCTTATTACTTAGATGGTTACCTAAATTTCTGGTAGTTGTTGTAGGGCTAAATTTTTGTCCGCATTTTCTACATATTCTCGCAATAACCTTATCTCCCTCTTTTTGTTCACTCATAAAATTCCACACAGGTGACGTTTTATTCTTACTGCGATTTGTACTAAAACTGCCATCTGATGAAACTTCTTGTAGTGGTAACATCATGGCATCATTTTCTTTATTTTCAATACTATTAGATGAATCAAATTCTTTCTCTTCAGAGGTAACATCGTCAATATGGACAAATTCTTCTTCAGAAGTGGGATAATAATCTGACATGTTAGAGTTTACTATAAATCTGGCTACTTTTTTTTTAGATTTTTTTCCCTTATCTGAATAGTCCTTTTTATAACTTTTGAAAAATTAGGATATTATATTACACGATACTATAAAAGAAACAATAACAATATTTAATTAGGGTGATATAATTAATTTAATCTAATTTTATTAATTTATTTTATTAATTCGTTACATATTAATTGTTAAACGATGATTAAGATACTATTTATTAATTTATTAATTATGGATATTATCAGCTTGCTTATCTAATTATTTAAAAACTAATGAATAGAACCAAATAGACCAGTAACATATCTAATTAATTTATGAAATCTGTGAATCCAGCTAATGAAGATTATTTAAAAGCATTCAGATATTTAATAACACGACCAGGGAGGCTGCACACATCATGTATAAAAAAAAGCCATTATTGGAACTGCAGTTTTATATTCTGCAAATATTCAGACAGTAAGCTAATTATTTAAAAACTAATGAATAGAATCGAATAGACCAGTAATATATCTAATTAATTTATAAAATTTGTGAATCCAGCCAATGAAGATTATTTAAAAGCATTCAGATATTTAACGACATGATCAGGGAGGCTGCACATGTCATGTATAAAAAAAAAGCCATTATTGGAACTGCAGTTTTATATCCTGCAAATATTCAGACAGTAAGGCTTTAGTTGTAATAATTGAGTCTAGTCTGTAAACATTCTACTGTAGTAGTGGTATTTATCACATGGTTCGCAATTTAAATAGCCATTCTGGTTGTGCTATATTTAACTGCTGTCTGCATTAATTAGTACATTAAGTGCTTATTGTCAGCAGCAAGAAAAATATCTGTATTTGTAAACAAGATACAGGGCAAAATTAATTAATTAAATGATTACTTTTTGATAGTTAATTACCACAGTTTGCAAAATGATGCAAATTGCATCTTTATCGAATTTTCAATTAAGAAATCATTTTACAATTGTACAATCGAACAACAATCAAGGGATTGTACATGTAAGCAGCAATCTGCAAAATTTGATCAAGGATATATCATTTTGCAAGCAGTGATAATTAATAATTTTACTTTAAATTACAGCATATTTCTAGTATTTTATTGGCTGCTATTATTCCTAGAAATTAATATTAATCTATTAGCGTTTAACACTACTCTGCAACATTTAGCGCATTAATAGCATATTATTCTGAATAAAGACACTATGAAATTAAACTAGAGTAGTAAAAATTTTCACCACTATTGGTGAAATTGGTGTTGGATTGGCGAAATTTGGTAAAATTAATTCTTGAATGATCTTCCAATTATTGTAAAAAATTTCTATATTTGTATAACGATGCAAATTATGCAGGGATAAAATTAATAATTCTAGATTTAATACGTATAACAATTAACATTTAATTTCATCCTTAGACAATTACCGTTAAACAGTTATTTATTGAAATATTTATTATTTTAAAAAAATTTTACCTTTAGACAATTACCGTTAAACAGTTATTTATTAGAATGATGTTTATTATTTCAAAAAATTAATGTGTTAATAATTATACAGAGTCAACACCAATATTAAATAAGAAAGTAAGGGATATATTTTCATATAGTTTGAAGTTAATTGTTTGTATAAGCACTTCAATGACTTAATTTTTGAACGGCCAATATACCAGGAACGGAGTGATGCAATCACAAAGTGTATGGTTTATACACTGTTTGGAGTGGGATTTGTCTGCAAAATCTTAAGTTTGATTGGTCCGCATGACTTATTCGTCAAATTTTGGTTATT